TAGGGAAAGTGCTGTATAGATGCAGCAGACCTGGCAGGCAGTGGTGCAGAGCAGAGGGCAGCCAGGGTTAGGACTTCGTGGAGGGTCGAGAGGAGGGGCACAGGGCACCAGGAGATTCTGGGCGGGAGAGACCTGTGTTTATTACACAAGGAATGAAGACAGCAGTGACCCATCAAGCGATGAACACATTTGCATTTTCTCCAGCGAGACACTGCAAGGGTTTAATTGAAACGTGGCAGCATGACGATACCTCAGGGTGCTCTTTACGGGTTGGTTTTGAGCTTTCCACAGAGAAACTGTAATCAGGCCTCCTGGATTTCCTTCCAGCCCAGCTTGTCAGCATCAATCCAGGGGCTTGGCTGAGGGACACTGTCTTGTTTGCACTCCCCCCAGACACGGATCTAAGTGGGTCTGATTCTGCTACCATGTCTCATTCTCACTCCTCCCTAGCATGGGGGGCACTTTGCTGCTTACACCTTCTCCAGTATAAACACCAGGGTGGTGAACCTCAGTAAATGCAAGAATATGGTTCAGAAGAATTGTTTGTAAGGCTTTTACTAAAAATAGTAATGGCTGTACATACAAGTTCATAGACAGGTTCACAAGTATAACATTTTTGACCCTAAACAAAATACTAGCTGCCAAAAGATCCCCAGTCTCTATCTTTCCTAGCCATCTCTGGTCCTCTTTGGCTTTGTGAACACTTAAGGATATGTTTATTACATCCTTAACAACTTCCTGGCTCAGCACAGCCTGTTGGGAAAGGCCGTGGTTGGCTCTGGGCTACTACCCACGGCTACGTCACGTGTCATGTGCAAACGGTCAGCCCCCAAGTGGAAGGCTCTTTGACTGTGAGTCACGTGTAACCAAATCCTTGTCACCGCCAGACGTGTCTATCAAGATTCCGAATCTCGTAGCAACTTCTGAACCACACCAACTTTTTTCTAAGTTCTGATCTATTGAAAATGAAGACAGGGGTTAAAAAAGTCCCCAGCATTGAGAAAATATTTGGGATTAATATCCAGACTACATAGAGAACTCTTAAATTCAACAACAACAAAAACAAACAACCCAATTCAAAAACAGGCAAAGGACTTGAATAGAAATTTCTCCAAAGAAGAGATATGAATGGCCAATAAACACATGAAGAGATGCTCAACACTGCTCATCATTAGGGAAGTGCAAATTAAAATCACTTCACACCCATTAGGATGGCTACTATTAAGAAAACAAGAAAACAAGTGTTGGCGCAGATGTGGAGAAATTAAAACCCTTATGCACTGCTAGTGGGGATGTAGAAAGGTGCAGCTACTATGGAAAATGGTAATGGAGGATCCTCAGTGAATTAAAAATACAATCACCATGTGCTTCAGCAATTCCAGTTCTGGTATATACCCCAAATAACTGAAAGCAGGGTCTTGAAGAGTTATTTATACACCCATGTTCACAGCAGCATTATTCATAATAACTCAAATGTAGGAGCAACCCCAGTGTCCACTGACAAGATAGATAAGCAAAATGTAGTATCTCTATACAACGGAATACTATTCAGCCTTAAATAAGAATAAACTTCTGTCACATGCTACAATATGGATGAACTTTGAGGACATCATGCTAAGTGAAATAAGCCAGTCACAAAAAGACAAGTACTGGATAATTCCAATTATATAAGGTGCCTGTATGAGGTAGTAAAAATCACTGGGCCAGAATGTAGAATGGTAATTGCCAGAGGCTGGGAGAAGAGAGGAATGGGGAGTTAGTGTTTAACGGGGACAGAGTTTCAGTTCTGCCAGATGAAAAGAGCTCTGGAGATAGATGGTGCTGATGATTGCACAAACAAAGTGAATATACTTAATACTACTGAACCTCACACTTCAAAACGGTTAAGGTGATAAATTTTATGTTACTTTACCACAATAAAAAAAAAATTGGGGGGCTTCCCTGGTGGCACAGTGGTTGAGAGTCTGCCTGCTGATGCAGGGGACGCGGGTTCGTGCCCTGGTACGGGAAGATCCCACTTACCGTGGGGTGGCTGGGCCTGTGAGCCATGACTGCTGAGCCTGCGCGTCCGGAGCCTGTGCTCCGCAGGGGGAGAGGCCACAACAGTGAGAGGCCCGCGTACCGCAAAAAAAAAAAAAATTGGGGGGAGGAAAGGCCCCAGCATTGACCATCAGGTATAAATCTTGAACTAGCCTGACAACCACCTTGTTATTCCCCAACCAGCTTCCAAGTCCCAAACTGTTGCTCCCCTCAGGCGAATTTACTGGGCTTTGCTAAGATGGCTGGGATGTGCCTTTTTACCCCTGAGAGTTTAGCGGCCTGAGGTGTGGTTTTCAAATCTGGCTACATGGTAGAATCATCTGGGGGCATGAGGGAAATCTTAATGCCCAGGCACCGGTCCCAGAAAATCGGATTAAATTGGATAGGGGTGGAGCTCAGGCATGGTAGCTTTTATAAGCTCAGAGATGATGCTGACACGCAGACAGAACTAAGAACCACTAATTTAGGAGACTCTTATCACCTGAGCCCTTCTAACTTCAGGTTGAGAAGTCTTCAAGGTCCCTCTGCCCAGGCTATTTGATTGGGGTGGACCCGGTCCTTCCTGTTCCTTAGACAAAGACCCATCGAGGGCCTGAACGGGCTCACACTCTGCATCGTGAAGCTCTCCCAGATGCTGCAGCAGTGAGAAGCCACCCAGGTCTGGGAACTGAGTCCTGGTGGCCCCAGAAAGGCCTTAGCTCCTCCCTCAGTGACATGCCCTGGGGCTCCATTGTTTAGCCCATGTTCACCACTGTCCCCTGCCCTAATCTGGAGAGTGATGGACTGTGCTGGGCAAACAAGACCTGCCCTGGGAGAGTATGAAGACCTTCTCCTGCCCATATATCCTCTTCCCTTTGCCATCCAGAATCCCATGGTGATTCCAGATGGCAGGAGGCCCCAAAGACCAGCCAGAAACAAAGGGCCTTCTGACTTTCCAATCCCAGTGGGAAGCCTGGATGTTTCCAGCAAGTTTGTTTCCCTAAAACTCTCTCTCCTTGGGAACAATTTTTAAAATCCCATAACAGTCAAAGGAAGCCAAAAGAAAGGGAGGCATCCTCACGGGGCAATTAATGACGCCCACAACAAGCTAGGGCCATTTTTATTATATGTAAGCTTGTTAGCAAAAAAGAAACAGCCAGATTGTTGGTGGCTGCTGGTGGTGATCAATTACCATGGCGGGAAGGGGCTTTGGACAATTGCTCACAAAGCTGGGGTCAGAACAGGGCTCTGTTATTATCTCAGGCAGGTGGCTGGAGTGGGCAAGGCCACAGGAAGCTCCTCTAATGATGGGGCAGGAACCAAGGTGCTAAGAGCCAAACACTAATTTCTCTGTCCGGGGGAGCTGCACCAACCTGGGTATTTGGCAATCTAAGAATGTTTAACTGGCTTAATTAGGAGCAGTTAGCACAGCCGAAACCAAACCAAAACAATAGCAACAAAAACACCCAGACAAACAAAACCCCAAATTAAAAACTTCGAAAACAGCCTCAGGAACAAAAGGATACACGTAAGCACAAGTCACGTCTGTGGAAACCACACCCTGTTTTGATGGCTTTCTAGCTCAATAAATCATTACAGACCCAGGGGTCAGGCCAGGCCCACTGAGAACCACGGTGTCTCCACAGCCACTTTCTAAGCCCTGGTGACCTGTTGCAGTCATTCATGGCTGGGAAAGGAAATGGGGTCCAGGTAGTTCCTTGTTCTAAAGCAGCGCTCACCTTACAGGAGAAGGTTGCAGCTCACCTCAAAACCTGTACAGCCACTATTGGGTGCATGTATACATGTCCTCAGCACAAATCCTCCCAATGACTACAGGAGGTGGGTACAGACAACTCAGGACACAGATGCTTGGAGACGCTAAGGAACTGTCTAGTAGTGCAGGGCTGGTAAGTGGTGGTCTTGGGACTGAAACCCGGGTCTGCTGGCTCCACAGGCTGCGTCCCCCACCCCAGAGATTGTCACATACTACATCACGTGCACTTAACTCACCCAAGGAGCCTATAAAAATAGACTCCAGAGCCGACCCCAGGCATCTGAGTCCACAGGTCAAGGTTAGTCCTGGCTATCTGCATTTCTCCAAGAGTTCTGTGACTTGAAACTTTTCGATGGCGGCTCACATTAAGAATCACATTTTCATTACTGGCCAGTACACAATGAAGTATGCCCACATATGTATATATAACTACTGAATTGATACAACTGAAAAAATGTCTGTGCTTAGAACATGTAAAGAACTCTGACATTTTTGGAGACGTTCTACTCTATTTCATGTTTAAAAAGCTAGAATCACATTTTCATTACTGGCCAGTACACAATGAAGTATGCCCACATATGTATATATAACTACTGAATTGATACAACTGAAAAAATGTCTGTGCTTAGAACATGTAAAGAACTCTGACATTTTTGGAGACGTTCTACTCTATTTCATGTTTAAAAAGCTTGTTGTGGGCTTCCCTGGTGGCGCAGTGGTTGAGAGTCCGCCTGCCGATGCAGGGGACGCGGG